AGAAAGACGGGGGAAGAGTATCCTGCCTTTTGAGTAAAAAATATAGGAAAATGAACCAATAAATTGAAGTTACTATAGTGTCCCTTATGACATAAGCACAGAATAGAAGCTAAACACTTGCTAAATTGAGAATAAATGGGCGTATATTGAGTCAAAGTTAGAAGCTAATAAATGGATAATAAGAACTTATAGAAACTGTTCCAGTCAGTTCTAAAATAGTTATCTGGTATCCAAAGTCTTGAATGTAAAAACAGACACTAAAAAAATTTTTTTGCCTCTTCTTCCCTAAGCCTGGTTGGTATAAGGAGTAAAGGGACAACAACATCTAAAAACAGTCAAATGGACTGAGAGCAAAAGATGTCAGGGTCAGAAAAAGGGGGAGGAAATCTGAAAGTAATTTAGGAAAGACATGAATAATAACTTTAAAGGCAACAAGTAGTTACAGTATGAAAGACTACATAAGGAACTTAACTTCTAAATCTCGGGATTTGTCTCAAAGCCCTATTTCTGCATTTATTAAATCGTATCTTTAAGGGCCTAAAGGGAATTATGTCAACAAGAGTTTCAAAACATAATGAAAATAAAGACTATCTGCATATGAGAAAATATAATGCAATTTTAAGAAAGTGAATTTGGGTACATTTGAGGAATGTAATTATATAAAGAACTAAAACACAATTCCATTATAGAAATACTTGCACAAATGCTACACACACACACACACACACACACACAAGACTACTGATTACAGCACTATTTGTAATACAAACGAAAAGGTTAAAAAAAATCTAAAAGTCCATCATTAAGAGACAGTTTAAACAGATTATGGGGACTTACAGTCAAGATGGAGCAGGGTAAGTGAACACTGCTCGCCTCCTCCCACAACCATATCAAAATTACAACTAAAATACAGAACAACCATCACTCAGAACTGTCAAAAATTGAATTGAATGGAAGTCCGACAACTACGGAATTAAAGAAACCCCATAAATAAAGACTGGTAGGAGGGGCAAAGACATGGATTGGGCTGGTCCCACATCCACGTGTGCTGGATAAATATTCAGGAGGGATATATTGGAAGCGGGAAGCCCTGGCTCCACACCAGGCCCCCCAACCCAGGGTTCCAGTGTCAGGAGATAAGTCCCCATAACTTCTGGCTGCAAAAATCAATAAAGATTGAGTCAGTGGAAGAAACTTCTGGAGGCCCAAGCAGTTCCTCTTAAAGAATCCACACATGGTCTTACTCAGACTCACTCTCTCTGAGCTCCAGCACCAGGATAGCAGCTTGAAAGGCACCAGTGGCATTGAGGGAGGAACTGAAATGTCTGGCATCAATGAGAAAGCTGGGAGGACAGCTTTCTCCCAGAAAGGCAGGAAGGTGCCACTGTCCCTTTTCTGAACTCTCCCCCAACAGAGACACAGATCAGGAAGGCAGGTACCATATCCGAGACTCAACCAACCTGGCTAACACTGTTTGTCTTGCCCTGGAGATCCCCTGAGGCTACATCCCACCCAATTAGAGCTGGCCAGCCCAAGTTGTTAACAGTGACTTTTCCACATGAATGGCTGGTCTTCGCTCCTGCTTCACGAATCCTAAATCCTTTCAAACAAGCAACAGCTGGCCTCAGTGAGCCCACAGCCAGAATACCTCTTACTATGTGGTCCCATGAATGGTAGTAGCAGCAGCCCCAGCCAAGATTCACAGCTTGGCTTTCCTGGGAGTCTCCAAGCCCAGCACAAGTAGCAGTCATCTGTAGACTGCTTTACAGTTCATGCCGAGTGCCCCTGGGCAGAGAACATCGGTGCGGGCTGACCTTGGCCGGCACCACCCAGGAAAACCCAGAGCCTTCACAATCAGTGGACAGCTAGAGATCATGTTGGAGCACCAACACCCTGACCCTGCACAGCTGACCCTCCACGGAGGATGGTGATTGGTGACTACAGTGTTCCCAGCCAATCTTGCAGCTGATCCACCCGGGGAAATAAATCTCTCCCACTGACTGGCCAACAGCAATTAAGGCTTAACTACAAAAGAGGATATACTCAGCTCACACAGAGGGTGCACCTCAAGTACCCAGTTGGGGTGATAGGGGAGGCTGTGCCACTGGACCCTACAGGACACCCACTACATTAGGCCACACTACCAAGACAGAGGAGTCACAGCAGCTATAACTAATACACAGAAACAAACACAGGGAGGCTGACAAAAGGAAAGACAAAGTAACATGGCCCAAATGAAAGAACAGATCAAAACTCCAGAAAAAGAACAAAATGGAGATAAGTAATCTATCAGATGCAGAGTTCAAAACACTGTTTATAAGGATGCTCAAGGAACTTAGTGAGGACCTCAACAGCATAAAAAAGATCCAGTCAGAAAAAAAGGATTCACTAATTGAAATAAAAAGCAATTTACAGGAGAACAACAATAGAATTAATAAAGCCAAGAATCAAAAAAGCAATCAGAACAGGAACAAAAAAGAAGCCAAAAAAATGAGGCTAATGTAAGCAGCCTATGAAACAACTTTAAGAGGTCCAACATTCACATGATAGGGGTTCCAGAAGAAGAAAAAGAGCAAGAAATTAGAAATCTATCTGAAAAAAATAATGAAAGAAAACTTCCCTGATTTAGTGAAGAAAATAAACATGCAAGTCCAGGAAGCACAAAGAGTCCCAAACAGATGGATACAAAGAGGAACACACCAAAACTCATCACAGTTAAAGTGCTAATGGTTAAAGATAAAGAGAATCTTAAATGCAGCAATAGAGAAGCATTTAGGTACTTACAGGGGAATCCCCGTAAGACTATCAGCTGACTTCTCAAAAGAAACTTTTCAGGCTGGAAGGAACTGGCAAGAAATATTCAAAGTTATGAAAAGCAGGGACCTACAGCTAAGATTGCTCTCCCCAGCAAAGCTATCCTTTAGAATCAAAGGACAGATAAAGAGCTCCAGACAAGAAAAAATTAAAGTTCATCATCACCAGCCCTGGCTGGCGTAGCTCAGTGGATTGAGCACGGGCTGGGAACCAAAGTGTCCCAGGTTCGATTCCCAGCCAGGGTACATTCCTGGGTTGCAGGCCATAACCCCCAGCAACCGCACATTGATGTCTCTCTCTCTCTATCTCCCTCCCTTCCCGCTCTAAAAAAAAATAAATAAATAAAATATTAAAAAAAAAAGTTCATCATCACCAAAACATTATTACATGAAATGTTAAAGGGACTTATTTAGGAAAAAGAAGATCAAAACTATGAACAATAAAATGGCAATAAATACATATCTATCAATGACTGAAGCCTAAAAACAAACAAGCAAACAATTAGAACAGAGACAGAATCATGGATATGGAGAGCATTTTGATGGTTGCCAGTTGGAAAGAGGATGTGTGAGAATGGGTGAAGAGGTGAGGGGATTAAGAAATACAAATAGGTAGTTACAGAATAGCCACAGGTATGTAAAGTACAGTATAGGAAATGGAGTAGCCAAAGAACTTATATGCATGACCCGTGAACATGAATGATGGTGTGGGGATTGCCTGAAGGAGTGGGGGATGCTGGGTGGATGGGAACAAAGGAGGAAAATTTGGGACAGCTGTAACAGTGTAATCAATAAAATATAATGTAAAAAAATTAATAGATTATGGACAGCCTTACAATGAAGTGTTATGAAACTATTAAAACTGAGCAGCTCTTTTTTTACTTATATATGAATTCTCCTCTAAATCATATTAAGTGGGAAGAAAAAATAAGGTAGAAACTGCACAGGTAATTTGTAACCATATGTAGAAAAAATACACTTATTTGACTACATAGACAATACCCCTGAAAGTCTCCAAGGAAGTAGAAAAACAGTGGCTGCCTCAGCAAGGAGAGCTGGGACATAATGAAAAGGGCACTTACTTTTCCACCTAACTTGAACCCTTTTTGATTTGGGCATGTACCATATATTGAAAAGGCAGATTTTGAAACCTTTTGTAAAAAGCTTAAACAAACCCTGGGATGACTCAACATATTAGTCATTTTGCTGAAGGCGTAGTGAGACCATAATGGTGAACCAGAGCTTTTCTTTTAGCATTCTCCCTCAACAACTACCTCTAAAAGACTAGAAAATCATTCTTGGTTCTCCAAACCATCTCCACCCCGTGAGTCAACTACAAAAAAGGGTGGGACTCACTATAGGAGTCTCACAGATGGCATGAAGCCCAGGAACACAAGAGGCAGCTGTTGCAAATTTATGAAATAAATAGGAACAAATAGGAAACAGGAAGGGTGAATGTCGATGGCCAACAGCAGATACGATTTTCTACAACCTGTTCCTTGGTTGAGAAGGACCTATTAAATCAGTCGGCAGGGGCCCTTGGATAAAGAATTGGAGGCGTGGCTAACTTCTGCGTGGACCAGATGGGCAGCTACCAACGGTGAGGAATGCTAAGAGGCTTAAATTTGCAGTGGTCAAAACGAACTCTTACACCTGCCTATCCAGTCTTGAAATTCCTTCCCAGGCTGAGATAACTCATTACATTCATTATCTAACTAGGACAGATTCCCAGATCAGCGCCCTATCAGCTGGCAAACCTAGGTAGTGAAAAGGCAGTTGGGTGACTTCTTCCCACTTGTCACTTTATGGTGGACATCAGCCATTTCCCTCTATCCGAGAAGTGTTCGAATAGGGCTGCTGCTGCTGCTGCTGCTGCTCAGGGAATAGGAATCACACCTGGAATGGTATTTCCTGTAACAGTTCCAAGAATTAGAAACCCGAACCAGTGTACAACTTCAGGCTTTCGTACTGTGCCCTAGGGTTTACTAAGCTTAGTACAAATTCCCGAAGTTTCCCAAAATTTGCTGTGTCACCGGAAAGTCTCGTCACCGGCCAGACTTCTGTTTCGGAGCTGCTCATTGGTTTCCCCACTCAGCCTTCCTCCAGGTCCACGGAGCCGGGCCATCTCCTAGCCGCGGTCCCTCCACCAGCGGTCCACCTGCCCAGGGGCGGGGCGTCACTCTTCCGTCACTCCTCCGGACAGACGGACGCCACAGAGAACTGGCCAACAGGACTTCCCGCTTCCTGTCCGCCGGGCCGGCCGCCTCGCCCATCCCACCGCACAGCGCGCCCACCGGGCAGCCGGGGTCCCGAGACGCGCACGTCGAGTCGCCAGCCACCAGGGAGGCCCACAGGCCCCGGCACCGACCCCTGGCGCGGGGACACAAGCGGGGCCCTGCCGTCTCCCGGACGGCGGGCCTCAGAGAGGGCCGGGCCGAGGTGGCCGAGGGGGACAGGGGGTGGCAAGGGCAGGGGGCACCTTCCTCACCTGACACCGGCGAGCAGCGTCACAGCCCAACCCAGTCGGTGGCAAGATGGAGCCCGGGGCGGGCCCGGGGAGGGCGGGGCGCCGGGAGCCGCCGTGGGAGCCCGTTAGGATCGTCGCAGCAGCCGGGAACGCCCCTGGGGCGGGGAGGGAGGTGCCCGGCAGGGGGCGGCCCAGGACTCGGCCCGACTTTCCCTCCGTCTCCCCGCCCCCGCTGCTCCACCTGCGCGGAAGGACGCTCTTTTCAGTGGACCGACCAGTTTCCCCACTTTCTCCATCCGCGGGCCACACCCCGATCCCGTTTCGGTGCTCGGGGCGGGCGGTCGCCGCTGTTCTCTGGAGCCCGGATCCCCTTCGCGCTCGGAGGCAGACTAGGGCTGCGTCAGGCCGGGTCCTCCCTTGTATCTTCCAGAGACAAGGACCGCATCTTTTATTAGCCTTCTGTGAAGTAAATATTTACTGCAGTTCCTGTACTGTCTCAACTCGAGATATACTTAATCAAAATCACAAGGGAGTGGTAGGGTGATTCTGGGTTCCCTTTATACTAGAGCCCTGTAACCTGGCACACACGTTAGCGTTGAACATTTGGGGCAATTTCAAAGGCCCAGACCAGTGTCTGCAACTCACAAGAGAACTGGCATTGCACAGCAGAAACCAGTCAGCTTACCTTTTACAGTGGTTCTCAAAGTGTCCCCAGAACCGCAACGGCAACATCACACGGAAAGGGTAGAAATGCACATTGTCGGGTTCCACCTTAGAGCTACTGAGTCAAACTCTAGGGGTAGAGCCCAGCAATCTGTTTTAACCAGCCCTTCTAGTGGCTCTGACGCACACTAAGGTTTGAGAGTCATCAATCTATTACTCTGCATGCTTTTCTACCCAAAATCTTCCTCAATGGAGTGGGATGGTGTGGATTAAAATTTTTAATGGGGTGTGCTCTCCTTCCAGCGAGCGCGCCTGCGCCTTTCCCTTTCCGCTCTTCTTCCCCCTACCGCTGCCCGGCCCCCGAGGCGTGTTACCTCTGCCTTTCTCTGTGCTAGGCTTCAAGGGCCCTACTGCTACCTCTAACTTTCTAAATAAACTTTCTAATTTGAAAAAAAAAAAAAAAAACAGTTAATTGGGAAGAGGAAGATATATACGTGCCTAAAAGAGGAGTGAAGTGGAAGGTACTTCAGGAAGGTCACTACTGAATTTAAACCACTTTGAGTACCCGGCATTTTACCCCAGATCCTTCCTACCAGTCTGTCTGCCTGGCAAATATCTGGACTTTCTGTCCAATCTGCCCCCAGAAACCTTGGGAATTTAAGCATTCCCTAAAAAGCCTGTCTTTACTCATCCTCGCTCTAAATTATTCCCTTGGTGATCCTATCCCCAACCTTTCCTCTGCCTTAGCTATACCCTTAAGAGGATATTTTTCAAGCCTCTTATTTCTAGCCCACTTTCCTGACCTATAGGTCCAAATATCCAACAGCCTGTTCAGACACTACCACTCGATTTCCCAGTTCATCCTTTCAAGTCCCCGTTCTTTGTTGACATAGAAGGCCCTTCAGCATCAGGCACCCATTCCTCACGTTTTCTCTGCCTAGAAATCACGGCACGGACTGCCTTTCAGCGATTATTCACTTATTAACACAATTCAAAGACTGACAGACTCCTTCCTGCTTCAAACCTTTTCCTGATCATCTGCTGTTCCTTACCTTTTCTTGGGGAGATGTGATCACCCAACTAAACCTTTTATAGAAGTCTACTGTGGCACATTTAACAGTAGTCACAGCACGTGAGCATTTAACTTACCTGTTTTCAACCACATAAACTTTGCAAAAACAAAACCCCTCTGAAAATCATCATATGCCCCAGAATTCATGTGAAATAGCAGCCATCGTGCGCCTCCTACTGTGAAAATCCCATTGTGTCAGAGTCTACTTTCTGTATGGATAGAGCAGCAATTTTGTTCCCAAGGGAACACTTCACAGCATCTAAAGACATTTTTGGTTGTCACTGAGGGGCGGGGAGGTATTACTAGTATCAAATGTGTAGAGGTCAGGGATGCTACTAAACATTCTACAATACACTCAACAGCCCCCTAAACAAAGAAGTTTGCAGCCAAAAATGTGAATAATGCTAAGGTTAATAATCCTGTGTAATCTTTCTAAAGAGTAAATTCAGTTATATCATTCCCTTGATTAAACTCTTCCAATGGCTTCTCTCTGGAAACAAAAGCCAAACTCCTGGCCATGGTCCTTTAGGCCCTATGTAATGTGGAGTCTGCCTACCTCTGGGACCTCATCCCTCTTCAACTTACCTCTCAGTCACTAAATCTGGTCAAAGTAGTCTGCAGTCCAAACACACCAAGCTTGTGCCCAAACTCACCAGAGATTCTCTGGACCTCTGCATTTGTTATTGCTTCTACTTGGAATGTTCTCCACTATATGTATCATCTCAAATGATACCCGTTTCCTCAAAGCGGTATGTATTCCCTAAACATTGTAGCATTAGTAGCAGCCACTGCCATCAACACCACTACCAGTTATACACATTCATTACCCTATTTAACTTTTTTTTAATCTTCACCAGAGGATAATTTTACTTTTATTGATTTTAGAGAGAGAAGAATGGGTGGGGGTGGGGAGACAGAGAGAGGAACATCAATATGAGAGAGAAACATCAATCAGTTGCCTCCCATATGCAATCTGGGGATCGAACTCAAAACCTACATTTTTGGTGTACAAGATGACACTCCAACCAACTGAATCAACCGGCCAGGGCTATAACTTTCTTTATAGCACTTAAAACCATCTGAAATTCTGCATGTTTATAGTTTATTTCCCCCAGCTAGAATATAAGCTCCTTGAGAACATGGATATCTGTAGAGTCTAGCAATAAATGTTCAATAAATATTTGATCAACTATAACAGAGCCCCCCAAACCCAAGCCAACTATTTCATTTGGTAATCAGCTAAAAAAAAAAGAGATTTGTTTCCTAATATTAGAGGAAAAACAAATAAGACTCTTGAGAGAAGGAAATGTCAGAATCCAATGTAATGTTATCCTAAGGGATTTTCAATGCAGTTTTAATTTTTTTTTAATTTTTATTTATTGATTTATGAGACAGAGAGGAAAAGAGAGAAAGACAAACATCAACTTGTTGCTCAATTTATTGATGCATTTAGTGGTTGATTCTTAAAAAGAATTACTTATTTTTGAGAGAAGTGAGGGGAGGGAGAAAAAAAGGGGAGACAAACATCGATTGGTTGCCTCTCGCATGCTGCACCTCTGTGCAGCCCAGGCATCTGCCCTGGAGAGGAATCGAACCAGCAACCGCTCCCTTTGCAGGCTGATGCCCAACCAACTGAGCCCTGCCAGCCAGGACTGATTCTTTTTATTCCTTTAACTTTTTAAAAAAATCCTCACCAGAGGACATTTTTTTTCCATTGTTTTGAGAGAGAGAGAGGAAGGGCCCTGACCAGTGTGGCTCAGTCGGTTGGGCATTGTTCCACAAAGCAAAAGGTCACTGGTTCAGTTCTTGGTTCAGGCACATGCCTAGGTTGCGATTTGTTGGGGCATGCAGTGGAGGCAACCAATTAGTATTTCTCACATCAGTGTTTCTCTCCCTCTATTTCTCCCTCCCTTCCCTCTCTCTAAAAATAAATAAATAAAATCTTAAACAAAATAATGTAACAGAGAAACATTGTTTGTCTGCCTCTTTTAGACTCCCTGACCAGGGATCAAACCTGCAGCCCAGGCATGTACGCCAACTGGGAACTAAAACTGCAGCCTTTTCCATGCACTAACAGAATTCCAACTGAGCCACACCAGCCAGGGACATTGGTTAATTCTTGATTCTTGTATGTGTCCTGACCACAGATTGAAAGCCCAAGCTTGGCATATCAGGATGATGCTGTAACCAACTGAGCTACCTGGCCAGGGATCAATGTATTTTTGAAAATACAATTCTTATTTTCAAGAATTCTTATTTTCACCTGGCTGGTGTGGCTCAGTGGATTGAGTGTTAGCCTGTGAACCAAAGGATCACTGGTTTGATTCCCAGTCAGGGCACATGCCTGGGTCCCCAGTAGTGGGTATTCGAGGGGCAACCACACACTGATGCTTCTCTTCCTTTTTCCCTCCCTCCCTTCTCCTCTTTAAAAATAAATAAAATCTTTAAAAAAAGAGAAATATAACTCTATTATATTGCCCTTGCTTATGTCAGTCCTCTCCTGTTAAACTCTAAGTGCTCTAAGGGCAAAAGCCATCTTAGACTCCTCAGTATTTGCCATTAAGCTAGGCATTTAGAATTTATGTACTAACACCACCATTCTACTAAGATGGAAATTTTGTGTCACCTGTTACTGTGTGGTTTTTGTCTCCTGATTAAATTCTAGTAGGTATTGTATATCACGCTTCATTAATCACAATCAGTAAACAAACCCTAAAGATTTTAGTTTCATGTTCTATTTACAAAATGTCACTATTTGTATACTTTACTCATTATAGCTAGAAATCACCTCTTCCTTTCCATGCCCAACTTAGCTGACACCTGCATTATCTCGTCTGAACCAATAGCTTCCCAATTGGTTTTCCATCATTAAACTATCTCACACAGCACTGCCAGTTCATCTGTTTATGTTACTGAATAAAACTTGAAACAGTATGCCATTTGGAAACAGTATGGAAACAGTTACCATTTTTAAGATATATGATTTATATTTTCTCCCATTCTTTTTTAAAAGATTTATTTATTTATAGAGGGGAAGGGAGGGACAAAAAGAGAGACACATCGATGTGTGAAGATTTACCCTGTTTTCTTCTAAGAGTTGTATAGTTTTAGCTCTTAGGTCTTTGATTCATTTTGAGTTAATTTTTATATATTGTATGAGGCAAACGTCCAACTTCATTCTTTTGCACGTGGGTATCCAGCTGTCCCAGACAACATCAAAAAGTCTATTCTTTTCCCATTGAATTGTTTTGGCAGCCTTCTTGAAAATCAGTTGACTATAAATGTAAAGATTTACTTCTTGATTCTCAATTGTGTTTTATTGTTCTAATGTCTGTCCTATACCAGTATCACATTGTCTTGGTTACCATTCTTTGAAATAAATTTTGAAAGAGAGAGGTGTGAGTCCTCCAACTTTGCAAACATTCTTATTTAACTTTTATTGAACCTCTGAGTACTAGACATTATCCCCATTTTACAAATGAGGAAATTAAGGAACTTTAAAAAGTTTAGCTTTCCCACAGGCACAAAGCATTTGGTGGTTGCCCCAGGATTCACATTCAGATCTATATAAAGCTGACCCATTGGCTATGCTCCTTCTACAATCTGGTTCTAATCGATCTTCCGGACTTAATCTATGCTAATCCCCCAGTGCATGCAAATACATCTCCTATGCTTTTCTGCCTCCAAACTTCTGCTCCTATTGTTCCCTCCATCTAAAGCACCCTGCCCTCCATCTGTTCCATAAAATTCTAACACATAAAATTTCCACTATTGCTTAGCAAAGTGATCTCTCTTTTCACTCTATTTCCTTAGTACTACAAGATTTTCTCAGCTTTTTATTCCACATTACATTTTATAATAAAGATACCTATGTATATGTATTATTTTCCTTCCTAGGCTAAGAATAAGGGCCATATCTCATTCAACTTTGTATCTCCCCAAAGCCCTAATACAATACCTTTTATATGAGGTACTAATTAAACGTTTTGAATGAATAAATGAATTCTGACATTGCCCTGTCAGAGAGGGCAATAAGAATGTACAGGTGTGTGTTAGGGTAGGGGTAGGGCCTTGAGGCCCTGGCCAGGAAATATCCTGATCCTGAGAGTGTGATATAAGAAGGAACACAGGAGACAGGGTGTGGTAGAATGGCAGGCCCAAACAGAGC